CACATTAATATGTGATAGGTATCTGCAAATACCTATCACATATTAATGTGTTTTTCCTTATAAACGGTTTCTTATAAACTTAGATACATAAATGCCACATTTCTCTGTAATTGTTGCATCCCTGTGAACTACGTATGTGAGAAACACCACATGCATATCGGGCTTCGAAATTCAACGTTTTGTAATTAAAAGCATATCCTATGCCCTCGGTTGGCGTTTTCCAGGTAATACTAGGAAGCTGTATCCTTCTGTTCGTAAAATGCAAAAATAGCTCTACTAATCAGTCATCGCATTAGTAGACCTAAAACCATCTTTGACTCTCTAAAAATCGGCCCACAGGGTGTAATTAGCGATCCAAGCCTGTGAGAGAATCCATCTGGAAAAAGTTACTTATTTTCCAAGCTTTTTGAAAGTTTACAATAGCGCCGCCTGTAGCGTAAGGACCTGTTTCTGTTCACAAATTTATGATCCGCCAGCGTTTCGTCCTGTCGCTTCACCATTGTAAAACCTGGCTCTAGACCTTCTTCGTGATGTTTTGAGGTGAAGACTTTTACTACTTAATCTTCTTTTTTTTCGGAATCTTTCTTGCTGCTGACTTTCTCAGTTCCGTACTGCGATGCTTTGTTTGCCTGCGTTAGACCCACAAGATAATGCATGGAGCTATACACTGAAAAGATAACACACTATTAGTATTATGATAACATGATTTGAACCCGGCCCGTGTGTAAATGGAGGCAACAGAAAAAAAAAAACGTATTAGAGTATGAGGTCGAAAGCATCAAGGAAATACGTCGAATGTCTTCGAGTACATGTTATATATATATATAAACAGTAGTAGATCAAATTGAATCTAATATACTAGACCTACAGATGGCGACGATAGAAGATACGGTGACCATTTGCGGGAATGAGGGTGCAAGATAAAAGGCATTCACTGCCCAATAGAGAAAACTACCCGCGAAACCCCCCAACAGCGTCAGATAGATTGTCGCTCGGTGCGGCGGTCGACTAATAGACATTCGTACACAACCTGCAAAGTGTACCATTAAAGCGATAATGATATTGGAACGATTTACAGTAACACCTATAAATGTAAGCACGGTATAGCTAAAATAGGGTTCGGATATTAAATGTCAGCAGTAAGTCTGGCAATTGGAAGAAAGCCTACTAACAACACACTTTTCTAAAACACATACCTCTAATATTGAAAAACAATTACCCAGGTTCATCTAGTTTTCGTTAAGATTCTACCTTTTATTTCGTCTAACACTGTTCGCTTAACAAAACCAAGACCAGTTCACAGATTCGATCCACTGACCTTTAGGAAAGGTATAATTATGTGTCAGGTAGTACTCCATAATATCGTCTTTCTCCTGGTACAGTCTGTACAGAAAGGCCTTAAGCTTCTCGTCGTCGGTGGGCAGATCCTTGAAGGCAAATCTTCTTACGTACATATCTGCTATAATTGGCTTTCCTCGAAGAATTGTGCTGATGCTAGCTGGATTGTTTTGATTTTTCGGCATGGCGATTTCCACATCATACAGATAGTCCACTGTAAAATATCACCACGTGATTAGTCGTTGTTGTAGCCAGTCACTCGATTGCACGGTTTATTTTGTTTCAATGCTACAATGCTTACATTTATTATGGAAATGCTGAGCGCAGAGAACGAATCCCTTAGGCCGCGGCAAAAGATGATGTTTCAGAATTGGAAGTTCATGTTCCTTTGCAAACTTAAGCGACATTTGATGTTTCGCTTCCGTAAATCTCGTGCCTTCTGAAAACATCGTCAGAATCATAGTATCCTCATACTTCAGTAAAGTATCGAGTTTGCTCAACAGTGTCTCACGATCCTTCTCCCAGTTGCGTTCGAGAAAGATCTGGTCACCAAAAACACAGTTCCAGCCGATGATCGGTACGTACGCGAGCATCTTCTTCACTACGGCTTTGCTTGATCCCAGTACGTCTAGCATATCGAACAGCATCCAGCAGTAAAGAAAGTCAACCTCATACGTGTGATTCATCAGCAAGAGGGCGTGGTTCTTGCCAAACGAACGCGCCGTCTCCTCGTCTTGACACCATACACGACACTGCGACCCGCTCCACCAGAACCCCAACGTTGTGACAGCTATAGACAGCAACACAAAGGTTTAATGATTTCGTTCGGACACACTAAGGCCAATGTACCTACTTAAGCGCGTAATCAAGTACGCTATTGTTGATTTCAAAGCACATAGATGATCCGTAAAGGGATTACAGCTATTACTTCTATTCCGGAAACTGAAGACTTATACTTACGGTTCCAGTGTGCATAGGTGAGGTATCCGTTAAGATTCCTGTAGAAACGCGCGTTCACTGGCCGAATAAAACAGTATGCGACAGCCTGTACCACATTGATAAATAGCCCAAGTGTGAGGTAAGTTCCTACCAGAATCATGTGCATCAAAGTGCTTTCTTTGAGAAACGACATGATGATGCTCTTTTTTTGAGCCGTGTCACCCTTTATACAACTGGACTGGCTGAAATCACGTTGCAAGAGTCCCGTCGATGTTCTGTTGTCTAAAACAATACCATCTGAAGGTAGACCCACCGCCAGTTTGCTTAGCGAACTGTAAGCAAATGAACAGTATTTGAACTTTCTTATAGTAACACAGGCATTATACATAGACAAAACGAGGTAGATACTTTAGCTAGCTATACTGATAGACACCCGGAATTTGTGGAGTAACTAGGTGTTTAGAGCTAGCGTCCGTGAGGTCTAACAACCCACATAACGCCTGTGTTAAACAGGTATATAATTTTAAATAAATTATTAAATTAGTGTTTACAACTTAGTTGGTGAAACGGTACCACCAACTTGTGCAGAGCGTATTGAGTAGTGTTAGTGGAATTACATTGTGCATGAAAAGCTGGAACAAACTTAGGTCTATGTAACCGATCTGTAACCGTCTATGTAACCGAACGTAACATAATATCTATTCCTTTACAAACGATTAATGGTAAAATGTTCGAAATGTTCACGGCAAACACTACGGAACTAGTTTCCCCTTGTCCACAAGAACACTGTCGTGAAAACAATTTCATGTATCCCTCTGACTTCAGGTAGGCTAACAGATAGTAGCTCGAAAGCCGGAGAGAAAGGAAAAACAAAGAAAAGCTCGGCTTCGGTTTATAACACACGCACATTCGACCCACATTAGAGACCTCTTCCAGTTAACGGATCTAGGAATATGTAGGAGGACGCGTACGCTCTTAGTATGAAGTAGGAGCCCTACTCTGATCACTATCCACTAGCTGCGCTTTCAGAGACAGCCGAAGATTACTCCTTTTTAGAATATGTCGTCATCCCTTAGAGTAGTTCACTATGTTAAACCAAAGCTGGTCCAACATATGAACCGCCTACGGCTAATTCCTATATAACGGTGAATAGACATTGAATTTACAACGCGGGGCATCAAAATAGCGTACTACAGAAAGGTCACGGTACAGCACACTTCTTCCGAAACTCACTTCACCATTAACTTATAAATGCTTTTTTACACAGGGCCTTTCTGCTTTAATAGCTGGTCCTCTAGCACCTGATCTGTATTCATTTATGAACTTTATTTATTATATAATCTTTATCAAAGATTATCAACCACAAAAGTTTATCTATTCAAAAAAATCTGTTTATTCAAAACAACTGCTAGATTTAACTTCCGCCCATAAGATGCAAGGACTTGCCAAAAATTCACAGATCGTAATGAAATTCACGTCCGATAACTATTGTGAGTCCTTTCCAGTATTAATCAAATGAGAAAGATACAATATTTTCCATAAGTAATAAATCACAGAAGAGTATTGTGAAGCTGCCTTTTGGAATCAAAAAAAAGGTACCTTACAAGACAAAAGGTTTTCAGAACGCACATTGTACAAAAGGAGTTTGGAAGGCTCATCAAAGGTCTAACAGAGAATAACAACGTTCAATTTCACTATTACGCTATAGCTAATGAGATCAAAAGCTGTCACCTCAAATACCACACCCCTCATATAGACAAAAGTTCAATTCTGTCATCGTTGCACAACGATATTAAAGAGGAATCAATCTGTATAATTACAACTTACAACGGCCTCTGCTATTTGGTGTTGAAAGTTATGTTCTTTAATTTCTTTTTGTCCTCCCTTTTCACAGTAAGCCAAAGTCAAAAAATACCAGCCTTATTTTTAGTAACGATCTGTTCGTATAACTTAGTACATACAATAACAAGCTAGCAAAACAAAAAAGAATATCGCGGGGAAACGGGACACAAAATGACACGCACCAACAGTTTCAATATTTAATAACAGAGTAGGTGATTTCTGTTGTGGATCTTGGTGTAGTGGTAGGCTTCCACTTGTATCAGTTGCTCACAGGGAGCAATAGATTGCTCTGGCTTTACTGCACGCCCAATGGCAAAATGCCCTGCCAAGATGCTGGCATATGCACGGGATTTGGTTCACGCATAAGCTAACGATTCAAGCGACAACAATAACGGCCGCCCAAGCAGATGAACCAACTTTTTGCTCGTGGCCCTAACAACCGTGTCAACGAATCTATGTCGGCAATATATTGACAGAGGGGTGAGACTGCCTGAGATCGCTGCTATTCTAGATAACAATCCGACAACACTAATGCCCAACTTGTTCCACTTCTTACCATCAACTGCAATATGACCTTGACCAAGTTATATCCTAAACACGCACTTCTCTGCCCAATTTCCTTGCCTGCACGCTCCCATGGTACGGATATGTACTATTACTGACACTCTTGTACGGCATACTTTTCGGTCTGTGGCCGGCATTTTCATTGTTCTACTATAGTCCGTACTTCATGGTGGCTGCCTGGAGCGCCTTAAGCATCAATCGCAAACGAGACTATCAATTTCAACTGCTAGAAAAGCAAAACAACTGATAGGAATTCGTTACTTAATATTCGCTACAATCTACAATAGTGGGATGGAAAACAAGCCGATAAGGCGTTTGATTATCGTACCCTGGAAAAACGTCTCTAGTGAACACCGAAAGTTGACAGACATTCCTCTTCTATATTAAATAATTTAACTGATATTCAATGAAGAACTATGGTAACAAAAAAATGGTGTAGTGCAACACGGTGTGCTATCACTGAACGCTTAACATACGGACGAGATTGTCAACATTTTGTACATTCACAAAAATATTAGCTGGATCTCCCAAGGATATAGGAAATCAGAAAGTGGCAGATTCGAATATTGGCTAACTAGTACCTTACCTCTCAATATTAACTTATATGAAATTCATCATGGGTAATTTGTAACAACTCAGAAAGACACGTCCTAGTAGTGCTAGCATCTGGGTCAGGTTGGTCAGTTCCTAAGTGAACGCTTGCGTTAATAATACTCGTACCGTAAAATATCCTATGCATCTTTAGATAAACATTATTTTCTTAGTGTAATTCAGTGATCCCTAGATTGTAATTATATCCGATGAGATCTCGACCAATTTATCTTTAAATTTAGCATTACATTGACGAATCCAGTTGATTTCGAACAAGTATCGTTGCTAGTTTTGTATCTTCATCTGCCCTGTATGTTGCCCAATACACAAACTGCATATTACCGTCCTCATACAAAGGATGTGGTCCAAGTTTGCGTATAGCATGCTAACAGGAATTACTATACGGACTACATTACATATGATACGGATATTGGTATCTGAAGTTGTTAATAGCACTGTCTTTGTTTGCATTGTGGGAAGATAAAACCGCCCTGATCTATCAACCGTAAGAAGGTCTTAGCAATCAAATCTTTTTCTTTACCCATTATCCAATACAACACATAACAAGGGTGTAGCATACAGTTTGCTATCAGCACCCCCCCCCCCCCCCCCATCTCATCGATGAAGGGTTCACGATACCCAAGGTGTAAATTAGTAACGTGTATTGTCCCTGTGATAGCGTAGTACGTAACGTATTTGCCTGCTAACTGGACGGACACGATGTGGTCTGGGTTCGAAGCCAGACATAGACAGACCGTTTCGTGCTGAGAGCCAAATGCCTGATGGCGGTAGCGGATGTTAAACTTATAATGTATGTTAATGACGTGACATTATGGCGCTTTTATGGAAATTAATGTGCCTTCGTTTGATGAGTCACTTGCACTTCAGGCTTGAAGGAACAACAGTCTGTGGAAGAACGTACAACACCTAGTAACAACGTGCGTATAATCCCTAAAAAACTACTGTAACTACAGTTATAAATTAGCCATTAAATTTACTCCCAATACAAGGAAGTCACACAGATGAGTTCGACACCGATTATTGCTAGGGGACGCGATTGATCAGATCGAATATCTATTCGGGGGTCTTAGAACACAAAGAACTTAACTTTCTTTCTTCAAGAGTTCTATTACACAAAATAAAGACCCGAAGCACGTAGCGGATAATAAAAACGTGGCCCAAAATTTGTAAGTGAAGTCGTTCACAATGATTATTATACAGCAATGGATAACCGGACGCTTACACTACAGCGCGCGTTTATAATTGCCTCAACTCATGGGTTCCATGGAATCAGATGGGTCACGATATAGTAAGCAGTTGCCAGGTTGATTATGAATTTATTTCAATCCCAAGTTAACCATATATCAATTCCATATGCAGCACTGAGTCTCCATCACCTATTATCCAGTGGCACAATACAATCTATCTAGTTCCCTAGCTATTAATAATGATTAAAATTGCTGGTATCTAAACGCTTTTAAACTTAAGTTGTCCAATTGAAAGGTAGGCTTTTGACCTTATCTAACATTCAGCTTAATTGAATAGCTCTGCTGCATCATCCTACAATCTAAGTTTTTTTTTAGCGTACATCTACATTTCATATTTATCCCGAGAGTGCAAAGTTGAAAGGAGCCTCACACCCTAGTTTCGTCGTCACTACAATTCATATCGGGGCTACAGTAGAGTACTCTCATGACCTTCACAGGAAAAATTTTCATACAGGTTGTATGAGGGATTTTTGGCGGCGATTTCTGGCGTCTTCCAACGCAATAAAAATAGTTTAGGCGCGGTTCTGAGGGCCATGCAATACCTATTATCTACAATACCCCCTTCGTTCAATTCTAAAAATCTAGCTGTGTACTGGGCTGCTACGAAATCGAATACCCGTGTACTCTGTATCTGTTTGTCACCAAGCTTCTTAATTTACTATAAAATCTGATTGCCGTTAAAGGTGCACGAAACATCTATGCACAAAATATGTAATACTTTGTTACCGCAATCATAATGTTATCAATGTCTTTCGTTATTATCGCACCGTGTAGCATTAGCTGTGATAAGTTGGCGAAGATAACAGTTTGAGATATATGACAACTATTAACAGCCAATTATCCAACCAATACTTTGCGGATCATAAATAGCTGTGTCACAAGTTAGGCCCCTATCTTCATTCGACATTCATCGATCGCATCTTACATAACTTCACAGGGATAATTGTGCAGTGATTATTATTACAATATTTTTGTCCTCTAGAGCTTGAGCAGGCAACTTTGCAAATGCCGACGCTATCGACAGTAGCGCCTTTGAGCCAAGCATCATTGTTCGAACAAGTCAACAACGCGACAGGCAAAGTCTAAGGGACCATCTAAGGGACTCTAAAAATCGATTTCAAAAAACAAATGTGTCCATATCGTAGCGTGCCCTCTTGGGACGGACATTTAACTCACTACCGATACCGTCAGATATTCAGTGCACCTGACCGGAGTTCTCGAACGTTCACTAGACGTCCCTTTCCTTGTTATAAAACTCTAGTTTTAGTAATAATTTATTCCAAAAGAATAATCTAGTTTTGCCGTTCGACGATAAAATACTGCCATACCCCGTCACGTCCGGCTCGCTTAGATAATTTTCTCTTTTACATGCCATCATTATTATCGAATATTGTCATTTTATCTACTGCTCTCTCTGTAGAAATGACCGATCACCACAGAACGCCTCTGATACCAATCTCTGTCTAATATAATAGATCTTGAATTCCTCGAGTAACTGCGCCGTGGAAAATCACCAGTGATCTTGGCAGGAATTAAATATGTATACGAATCGAAGTATGATAGAAATTAAGCTGCCCGATAAACTCAGATAACTAATTTCTACCAACTCGCTAAAACTCCGCAATTTCAGCGCGAGTTTAAATATGAAACAACACGTATTGTCCCGGAAAATCGATGCGGCGCATTTACTGTCGCGAATGAATGGCCAAGGTCATTCTAAATTTTTCGCACAGACCCATCCAGTTGCACCTCTCCCCTAACGTTGTATCGTTATATCTACACGCGATCGAAAACAATATTTCGGGTTTTTTATTTTATTCAATATCATTTAACTGAACGATACGTGCCCTCTTTAAACAGGCCAAGGCTGAGGATTGCCACTGATTTGTATTAGACAATCGGCCTCAATTATGAGCACCTATCCTGATTGTAGTAGCAATATTTGCGCCATATTGGCCAACTTATCGGGTAAAACATTAGATTTTTTAAGCAACGGTATTTTGTTACCTTAGTAGCGTACTGTTGAAAATTTCGTTACGAACTGCTAATGATCATTTATTTTAGTAATAATAACCTGCCTAACTAAACGTCATAGATAGCACTAAGATATGGCACAGTAACGACGTGAAACCAGCCTGAAGTTTTGTGTAAATATAATTCCAGAACTTCATGTTTATTATCAGATTATATGGGACGTAAAACACGTAACAGACTACAGCAGGTATAACAAAGAAATTATTTAAATGCATCCATAAAAAAGGCCCCTGAGGCAGACGTTTTTCAAGGGACGTTAAGTTACGTTGGCAAGTGACTATCTAACAGGCACTAATAGTTACTACTGTATTACATTAGACCCAATGAAACGACTTGGTAGGAAGTTTTGAGAAGAAAATTGTCCTACCTAATTGTTAATAGCGTGCCTTGGTTTCATTGAGTCAATTCTAGATTATGTCAGCAAATACTACTTTGGAGACGCGATTATTGTATCGCGAAATGTTCTTTCAATAATACGCGTAAGTTGTTGGTAACATTTTTACACAGGACCTATACACATTAATTTCCCTCCAAAAAAAAACAAGCTTTCTTCGACTGCAAATAATAGAATTTGCAGCTAGAGAAAACTTTACGTATAAAAAATGATCTCCGTGATAGTCCCACTTCGTGGGGACGAGTTAGACGTGGAAACATGAAACGGTGTTGGCAATTCGTAAGCTGAGTATTATCGGCCTCCGATTTCTAACGCACATTTCTCATGAGCATGATGATGATACCGAGCTTTTTCGAACTGCCTGCAGGCCACTACGTACACATTATTAGTAGGATAAGTACGTGTGTTACGAAAAACCTTAATCTAAAAATCCGACTATGTTGGCCTCGTGAACGATGCAAAACTTTTACTTTAGTATACCTTCGAAAAATAAAACGCCGCTTAACACTGAAAAACTATTCGTGGTCATCGTACAGCAATTGACCCCTGATCATTCACACAAACCTGTCATACATCAAATTCATTTTTGCTGGTATCACTTGCGTCGGCTTGAACAGGAATCTCTGTGAAAGGTGTCACCAGTATAATGCGAATCCACTGACACCAGCAAATAACCAAGTAGTCGCTTCCACTTCCTCAGATACCATAAAAAAAACTTCTGCTAAACTCTTGGCCCAAGCTACCGAATTTTTAGCGCTGTAATCGTCTGCCGCGTGTATCGATTATGACGACGTCGAAAGCGGAGGTTCTCTAGAAGTCCCAACAGCAGAAAACACCGTTCGGCAAATTTCACTAATCCACTTGATCGCTACTTTTTTTACTGACGATATCGTTGTTTTTCACCGTTAGCAATTTTTTTCGATCGTTTCAAAAGTAAAGGATTATTTCTCACTCACCAATCTAATCCAATTAAGTTATATCGCGTTCGGGTATACCCTGAATTGGAACTTATACGGATTGCCTGTACAGTGCGTTTGAGGCTCACTTCATTCTGCCGTCGATTGCAGCGACCTTTCAGTTGACGATTGTACGACTGATGATAAAATCGAATCGACGGCTCCGTTGACCCCTAGCACGTAGGTCACACTAACCTAAAGTCGCCGGCAAATTCAGCTACTGGTTAAACCGCGGTTGCTGCCGTTGTTACATTTGTGATTTGTGCTACTATCTCTCGTTTGACCTGTATCACCGCAACTTTTTTATATCTTTGGAAATGTGAAGGTTCAAATTGCCATACACGTAACGAACGAGGGCCCACATGAATGCATGCGGATTCTCACTTTCTCGCTCGTTTACTCTCTCACTCACTCAGTTACGCGAGTTGTTCTTCACTCAGCGCGTTTCCTCTATCGTTCATTACAAGAGAGACAGCTGAAAATACCTTTTTATCAGGTCGATAGTAGCTTTCAACGCAACTCAGTAATTTTATCACTGCTTCCAGCGCCGCATGCCGAGACGCTAACAGCCAGTTCCTGTTTTCATTGGTGTATCTGTTTGTCTGCTATATTGTACAGCCGCAGACAGATTAAAACTGCACTTCCCACAGATGCCGCTAGAGGTGGCTGCTGCTGCTGCTGCTGCTGCTATTGCTAGAACTTGCGAACGTCGTTCAATGCTTGTGCATGCTAGGACTGCAATGGCACGATCAGCTCACCACCAACATCGCCGGCCATATCATCATAAGCGGGTGACTAGACGTGTTAGTCAGACAATCGCCTAACGCCTAGTTGGCCCTGACTAGCGAAACAAGACATGGCGCCACGATATTTTCATCTCGCCAGCCAGTTGCCAGCCAGATCGACCGAAATCGCCTCTCCACTTCGAACGGCAACGTCGCACGCTTGAATGATAAAGGAAAAAATCAGACTGGAAAATGGAAAATAGCCAACGGTATCTCCAGTCAGATTTTGCGTGAAACGACGGCAGCAATAATAATCATAATAAGGCAAGATGGAAAACCGAAAAGAATACAAAGCGCACTCGTCGACGCCGCGTCGCCTGTGATAGCGGCAACGTTGAATAGTTAACGGGGCAGTCGGTTTGTGCGGTGATACGACTTTCAGACAGAAGTTCTTTTGGTTTATTGACATCTTTGTTGCGGGCCAGGCAGAACATGGCTTCCGAACCGAGGGTGATGTACATTAAATGTCTGTCTATTCAACGTAGGGACCAAGTATCGCTGTAGAAAAAGAGCACTTCCAAGCAGTTGAACAACAGCGAGACGGAATAATTTGTAGTAAAGGTATGAGATATACAGAAAAAAAAGAAAGCTACTGAAATGTAATAGAAAAAAAACAAGCACTCACGGCATAATATTGTTGTATGCGGCCGAATATATGACGTCGTAGTAATACAATTCATCCAAGCTATCGGTGTTTCAGTAGTTGTATTTGTAGCGGAAAAGTAAATTGGCTATATGAGTCGATGATGGGGTGTGGGGATAACTGCTAGGTGGCTGGAGCACAGATGAGCATCTCGAAATGTGCGACTTGGAGGCAACGCTGGTCACAATGTTACAAAAGTACAACTAGCTAACCGAGTTGATACAGTTACGCGGGTTGTTATAAAACCCGTAGACAGAAATTGTTACCGGAATGGAATGGTACGGGACAAGTGATCAAGTTGGTCTTGCCAAGTACTCGTCTGTTCAGATGACAACAATATCCAAATAAAAACAAATCGTCCACTATGACCAATACTGCTGTGAAAGAAAGGCACAGCAGGGCCTTCGGAGAATGACGTGTTGCTTCCACCAGTATCTATGTACGCGAGGGACACCCATGATGCGTTAGATGAGTGAACCGCTGATTTTGGGAGTAAATGGCATCTAGTCCTGAACGAGTCAGATGAGAGGTAGATGCACAAAGCGATGCTATCAAATTTTAGATACCTTAAATAGAATCAAAAATAACATTGATTACAGTAAACTACATACTTTTGATGTACGATGATACAACTTATTAACTGACAATTGTTTGTTACAATATAATATCTGGCTATTGGAAACATTTGCAACGGATATGATAATTATTAATGTTGCAACACATACATTCATTAAAAAGTAGGTCCGATTTGAACTATGAAAAGCCTGCCACGTAGGAGTAACAGCGCCGTCTGTGAACTAGGTAACATTTCAGCAGCCAACGGCCACAATGCTGGGACTGTTATTATACAACTATTATTTTGAGCTATTATAAAACCTTTTAAAATAAGAAACGGCAAGCTCATATCGAAGCAACAAAATTAGAAACATGTTAATTAAACATCATTTTTGTAAAACACACGGTCCAAATTCGAGGTAAATCCGTAATCTTTGAGAGAGGGATATTATAGGGATAGAGAGGGATTATCCAAATTAATTATTTTGCAGCTGGTCAATTCATATCACAAAGTGTTATCAAGTGCAGCTTTTGACATATAGTAAAAATAACCTAACCTTTTTTGGGGTATCTTCATTCTAAAAATTCTGTGTCCTTAAACCCCAACATATATATATATTTTTAGCAGTTTGTATATTTATTATAATAAATTATAAAATAGATCCTATTCTATAGCTATCAGATTTACTTGCGCATTGGCACTATCATCAGCTGCGACTTGAAGCCTTATTTTTTGTCGTTTCAATCCAGGGGCACATTTATGATTAAAGGCAAGCGGGAACTTGTATAATGTTTTATTACATCAATGTAAGCATAAAGGATCACGAAAATGTCTATTTCATGCCGCTAAATCTTAGTTCAGTGCTGCTGATCGAAAACGAGAAAGCCACAAACGCCTGCCGAAATGTGAGAATGCAGCATATAAGAACGAGGTTTTGAAAAGTAAACACTCGTATCTATTGCAGCTTTTATTTACTACTGAAGTAGAGATATACATAACACAATTATTGGTGCATAGGTGAAATATGAGTGCAAAACTACACCCATTTGAAATAATTACCTTTGTCCTTTAGATTTTCGTATCTGCTTTCTGCATACATGTAGCGAATAGCGACTGCCAAGAAAGAATTATCTGAGCAAAGTTCAGATTAAATAGGCAGATACGCTACGACTGCGTAGCGTACGTTCTACACTAGATGAAACCGTGGAGACAGTTTTGTTGCATTACGCTACCATCCCTCAAGCTAAGTTCAGTGGTCGTGTTTGCCCAAACCGGCAGGCCATCCCTGGTGCTTCAAAATACACGTCTAGGCCCTGTTCTGCATGCGGTCTTCGTATAATATCTACGTGTGCGACTCCCACAATTAGGAGTTATATACGAGGATAATTCGCGATATTACAAACACATTGGAAGTTCGGAAATCCACGGACCACTTTTTTTTACTTGGCGTGAGGCACATCGCGCAGAGATACTAGACCTGAAATGTACTATCCTAACAAGGCATGCAACTTAGGTTAGCAGGCTACCTAAGAAGTTGCCTAGAAACATCTGAGAGTTACGTTTAACAGGCAGATAAGATTCTGATGTCGCGTCGCATACGGAACTAAAACTGTCTCCCACATCATTAACTCAATTCTCAGGGTTTTTTTCAGGGCAAGATATGCACAACAACTTCAGATCATATGATTCGTTGGTTTCACCCCAACTGACATATTGTGCCCCTATGTGAATGCCCTACGATATAAGAAAAAACATAACCTTGCTTCAACGTGTACAGGATAGATTTGTGAAATATGTTTCTGGATGATGCCACATTTCCTGAGACCAAGACATGCTCCCTAATGCTGCTAAGGTTAGTTAATATCTCCTTCGAAATGACATACTTAAAAACAGTTTGAAGAAACACTCCTAGAACTGACTTTTTGCTTCAGCCATCGGAAGTGGCAGACGCCAATATTGTACATCATACTTTTGTTTAGCGCATGGCCCGTTATGTACGCTAACAAGGTTACCGCGATTTTAGCCTCTTTTTAAAATACGTTTTAATATAATCAAAAACACTGTGAAGGCCCGTTTTAGAACATTCAATATCGCTTGGATACTGTAGAGTACAGACATTTTCACAAAGAGACAACTTAAAACAACCTTCAGAAATAAAAAATATAATGTGATTTAATGTAAAAAATTAACGTCGTAGGCATTTAGATCTCTTAGGTCTCTGTAAAGACTAGCATATATCTAGCTATTTACATTGGATATAGGTAATTATTGTGGGCGATAATAATTGCAATGGAGAGCACTTGTTTTTGGCAGTAGTGGATATTTCTCATTCCTTTAAAAACGTTACGAAGGATCCATTATAAACGCAGGCTAAGCATTGCTTATCGAATTATCAACACAAGTATTTATGTCTATGCTTGTTCATATTCGTTAGACTAAGAAAAACGTGCCAAGTGGCGACCGCTTCGCTATAACTTACGTAATTGTCTCTTAGTTTTAGAATGTCTCAGTAAAATTAAAGAAGATTAGGACGCACTTATGTTTAAGTCTAATGGATAGTTTCCTTGCTAGATTAAAAAATCATAAAGGATTTTTAAAGCGCTTTCACGCTCTATGAGCAACGTAAGCCTTTAGTGTTTGTATACGCTGGTTAAAAAAGTTAAGTGGGGCGTTCGTAATGTGCACCATTAGTCTTTCATTATTCGATTAATCTTATGCAAGAGGAATGTTAAACGACAGAATCGATGGTGCTTGTTTTGTTAAAATATTTTGTGCATTTAGTCCAATGCCTAAATGCAATCCTGAATTGCTGGTAGCTCCAACTGACGATGTACATCAATAAACAAACGTTGAGTCGTCTGCAACTGGGTCAACCCATTCGCCGAGCACGAGTCTGTGCGCACACTGGTAATATTGGTTTCGACGAACGCTAACACCGATGTGTCTGGCTGATTGTTTTAACACACGAATTTAATTATCAAAGCATAATGAACCGTGTGCTTACCCTCGGACTTAAGTGAGTGTCAAATATCGGCGAATGCGAAAGTTTGGTTCGCGCGCGAAAGTTGATTGTTAGAGGTTGAAGAGTATCTAGATGCGCGTATTTGTAGAAGCTTCTGTTCGAAGAGGTCTAGAAAGGAAAATCATTGAGTTTAATCCAGACAGAAGACGATTATATCTATTTCGCGTAGCTAAATATTAAACCACATTGCAAAGTTTATGTCCCAAATATGACCCACTGTTTTGAATGTGATGTGCTCTAGTAGTGAATCCAGTCTAGTCTTTATGGTTTTTTTTTATGGGTGTATGTGCTTTCGTTGTGCATTATAGCAGTGTTCCCCGTCGAGGCCTTTCGCAGTTGGTTTCCACTCACAAAACATCGAGCCCTGAGGTTCAAATCGAGATTCCCAAAAGAATCCAGCGGTAAGTAAAACATTTCTAAACTTCTGTCACTTTCGAAGGTCGACGCAGTAGGCTGGGACAATGTGCGTGTACCACTAAATCAAGACTAGTAACAGTATGTTCAGAAAACTGATTCCATGTAGTTTGAATAAATGTATTTATATGCGTGTTTTACATTGCATCCTACGCAAGGGAAACTTTCTAGGAAGTTTGACGTAATTAAACATATCTTTTCATGTATGTTGTCCGCATAATTTATAGTGTTGCTGTTCTTTATTCACTTTAGTTATTCATTTCGGCATACGCGTTTCCACTAAATACAAATAAGACGAAAAGCTATCGTCATTTTCGACGCCATTCAAATCGTTCTAATCCCTTCGCCCGCGGCTTGACAATGACCACCGACCGCTACCCGAATGGGTGACAATCTACTAGTTACGGGGGTATTGTAATCAATTATAAAACAGCAATGAAGTGCTTAACGGGACCGTACGCCGAAATATAAAACAAGAAAAACTAACAATTAAAAAGATTCCGTTTGCTTTCTCCCAAACGTCATCCGCTTATAGGGGGCCGACAGACATTCTCCGAGCCCTGTCTTCAACACTGAAACCCGATTATACCGCCCCACATTATCGATACCATGATGACCCGTTCCTGATCCCACACTCATCCATGAACAAACGGTCTTTTTCTTTAGCCAAGGAGAGCGGGCGAAAGGCAGCACGGTACTTTTTGCAAAAATATCCCGAATCGTTCAAGTATGATCCAGCAGACCCCAAGGTGAGAATATTTACATATCTGTGTATAATAAATAATAAAAGATTAAATTGAAGAAAAATGAGTCGATACAGTTACCTACGAATTTTAAAAAATATATAATTTTTCGTTTTAGAATGCCCTCTACTGATATTAATGCGTCTCACGACTACAACTGCTTATTTTTGTATATGTGTAAACGAACGATTCAGATAGCAGCATTCAACCCTCCTGAGAAAAAGTTTATTGAAGAAAATGATTATACCGAAGAGGACCTGCTCTATTTTATAAATAATGTTCGAGTCATTGATGCTCAGTCAGTATTCAACAGTATTCATACAAAAGGTTAGTGTGTGTCAAGACAATGTTCGATAATGACAGTATCTTGTAATTACGTTTGAATTTAATTAGCCATCACTCGCGCCAGCTTAGACGACAGGTACATCTGAATAGACTTTTCTGAGTATGTTTTCTTGCTGTCATGTACGTGTTACTCACCTATATACGTTTTTTTATGACCATAATCAATATTTTAGTTCGTCTCTGTGTGAATCTATTTATTATATTGTATCTTAATATTCTCCGAGTAATATCATGGCTCTTTTTTATTCAAAACTATTGGCCGCGAAGTCAGATATTTCTGAATATAAAAATTACGTATGCCTTTGAAACAGCGATACAATAGCACGCATTCCCCAACATGTGCAGCATGCTAAGCACTCTGAAAGTAGCGACTCCTAATATCAGTTATACTATATTGTAGCTTATTGTTGTATTCAAGATCAATAGAAACGACATAATAACATGCAATATGCGTGTCTTGGCTGCATATTTAGGTGTGGAGGTCTCCCAAAAAACAATTCTATTACTACTACAGCTGATGTCCTTCTACAATTGTAGGGAAGCTGAAACCATAAACTACCTTGAAGAACTATATTTCAGTCACAAAGAGTTGTTACCTAAGAAAACATGGACAGATGGAAATCTGGCAGAACTACTATTCGAAATGCTTGAGGACAAGGACACAGTGGCTTATTCTGCGTATATCTATGGCCTGGCAAAGGTGGTCTTTTTAACCATGTTTTTTTGCGCAATTTTTCATATCCTGTCTTTTTGTTTCCGAACCAAACTAAATTTCCAGTCAAAAATTCTAATTTGCCTCATAGTTGTATTTTTCGAATTCGAATGTTAATTTACGTATGCGTTCTTGCTTTTTAGCATATTCACGTGGAAAAAGCATTTGCTATGTACGAGGAGATGCGGTTGAAGGAGCTCGTGCCCTCGCTACATGCTTATAATGGTTTAATACACTCTGTGCAGTATATGGCGGAAGGTGCTGACCACCGATGGAAGCTAGTTACGAAATTGTTACATGATATGCAGGCTAATGGAGTGCAGCCAAATTTAATAACGTTCAATAATGTGCTGGAGCTCTGTTCCAGGTAAGTTTTTTCGAACTTTGCGGAGGGAGTAGTGATAAGCGTTTATTTATTCATAACACGCATCATTATTAGTCTAGTCTTTTATTCATCCTTCTTGCTATGTTTGGTTTTGGTTTATCTAAAAACAATCATTTTAGCTTTAAAACGGTGTCCTTGACAGTTAATTTAATCAGCCGTCCCCTGACCTAACGCTAATAACCATCGATTCGATAAATATATATTTTCAGGCTTGGTAATGCGCGTATGGGGAAAAATTATGCTTTGAAGACGCTTGCCGAGATGCGCAAACTCGGTATTGAACCGAGCCTTGCGACCTACATGTATGTTCTACGTTCTTTCTGCAAGACCAAGGGACCAATTAGCACCATCCTTAGAGAAATTATCGAACTTCTTGATGAAAAGGTTCTTGTTCCTCAAGAGGCACGCGATTTCGATTTTTTCCTGTGGGCGATGATCGTATGCAACGAGCATCTTTTCAACAAGGACGTTGCTTACAAGGTCGGTGCCTTTGCTATACATAATACACTGTACAGTTCAGCGGCTCACCCAATGAAACTATAAATTGAATGTACCTGTTAAGCGTCTATAAATTGATTGTTTATCAATAATACCAAGTTCTTGTGTTATTTTCGTCCTCGATGATCTTTGCAGGTGAACGAACTCCTAGAGAAAAACCCCGATCTGCTTGGTAGCTCCGCGCGTCACTCGAAATATTACTATCATTTTTTCAAGTTATTGGCAGAGACTGAAGACATTGATGGATATATGTTGGTTTACAATAAGTATGTGCCAAACACTTACATACCGGAAACAAGCATTTACATTGAAACTCTGCAGGCGATTGATCTAAATGATGCGTTTCGCTACTTGCCTCAGGTGTGGTCAGGTGGGTACACTTCCTCTATGAAAAAATAAATTTTTCTACACAATTAGTGGTTACAGAAGCAATCAACACGAATACTCACTTTAGCTGCAATTAGTATACATAATTCCAAAGAATTGTTAAGACATTTAAGAACAATGCCTTTCAAATGAGAAAAACAATCTGCTTTAAAACAAGATCGCGCAAGTTAGTCGAATATATTTAAAACAGAAGACAAAAAAGATTACGCGAGGGTTTCTACATGCATTTATCAATAAGTTCTGGTTACTTCACTCGGTATAATATAGTATGCCATCTTCATATCTTACTTGCGGAAAAAGCGCAAACCGTGCGAAGCACACATCAAACCATTCCTTTTTTACCGTCACGTTTATTAAATGCACGATAACTGTGAAAGCATTGAAACGCTAGGTTAATTTGTTTGTGTCTATTTACCATCTCATTGGATACCTCTAAATATTTGCCGTTTTTATTGAATTTCGAATGCATAATAGATATTGTCACATCGATGATCCATGAGCGAAACAGTGCTATCCCTGGGTCTGTGCTCAGTCTTACGGCTAGGTTCCAATCATCTGGAACTCCCGAAGATGACAAACTGCACCAACAAATTATCGAGATTGCCAGGCATACAAGAGATCGCTGGAATGCGAGCCGACAGCGATCCGTGAACACATTTCATGTGCCAATAATGATGAATGCTAAGGTAGGTCCCAGTTAAGTATAAGAAAAAATATGAGTCTATATTTAGCAGACTAGTTAGCTTGGTAGTTTGGGCTAACAACGTAACCGATGGGCTAGGCAATAAGTGACAAATTGTAGGCGAAGAAATAGGTGATAGTAAAATAGGTATTGTATCATTATTAGTGATAGAAAAGGAGAAAAAAATGAATTTGCAAGCATATATTTATCATAGCTCACGAGAAAATTTCTGTACTGCTAGCGTGTTTTAAGGTAACATTTGTTTACTTATCTAACTCTTTCACTTATTACGGTCACAGGATATAGGAAATATGATCCAAACATTTATTAACGGTAGTAGACTGGACGAAGCTTGGATATCAGTGCAACATCTTATTGAACGGCAACACGAAATTGTGGGCTTTTCCGAGGCAAGCCCACTTCTCAATTTCGTTCAGCGCGCTTGTCACGCTGGAGAGTTCAACCAGGCTTTGGTATGGGTCTTCTGTTTACACTAACTTTTAGCGTTAATTAGCGTTATTTAGTACTGCCGAATTACTTGCGAATTTTCTTTAAAGCAGAAGAATCTAATATATCCACATAAACGTTTTGCTAATGAGAGTTTTTGAGAATACGATGTGCATCGGTATTTTCCTCCAGTATTTTATGATGATCGATATGCTGCGAACCGTTATTTCTCAAAATATTCTACATCATTTATCGTCTTTTAAAATTTAATTTCAACACGATGGTAGGCACCCATGGTAATGTTTCCTTATTAGCGTCGTATATGACGTAATATCAAGAATATTCCGATGTGTGACACACGTTGTTTATCCTTGTAAACTTTTCTACTCGTTGGAGCCGTTCTAAAGCATATTGTTTTGGAAATTTATTAGGTCATAAAAAGCTACTAATAACCAAAATATCCATGTGTACTTCATGTTACAGTATTGCGCGAAGTACTGCGCAGAAATCGGCCACATTAGCGTGCCAGACTGGATGAAACAACAAGCGGAAAGATATGCGTTTGATCAAAAGATTCTTGAGGAACTTGATCACCTAACGGCGAAATCATCTACAGCGGAGGCGAAAAAATAAATGATAGCTATCTAGTCAATATTTTACATGTCCGTAATAAAAGTAAGTTATTTTATAGATAATTTATACGCAGTAACTCGGTTGGCTGACAACATGTGTTTTTATTTGTGTCTTTGCGCTAGTACATACGAGTTTATGTAGTAGCGTTTCTGGCTGTATTGTATTCGAGGATACACTGAAATATATTTTGTTAGACCGATTATTGAGGTTACACACAATATCATTTTTTGCGTCTACCATGTATGTTGCCGAAAATCAGATGGCCTTTTTAACGAAGAACTAGATTACTGTATATAAGTTCCCTGTTTCCGACGTTGTACATAGTAATAAAAAAGATCTTCAACTGACAGATTTGTTCATAAACATATTCATATTTGCAGCTTTTAACATACTTGTGTACCCCAACGTATCATCACACGCAAACCCGCTCACTGTGTTTCCGCGATAAACTCATTACGGCGGAGGCAGAAGGAATAAGAGCAAAGGTCAGCTATCATTTAATGTCTTTGCACAGAACAAAAGTTCCCTGATGTTTCTAATTTTCCTGACTGCCTGAAATCGTCAGTTAACCTTGTTGCCATGCCCAGGTGGCTTCCAACGAATCTACGTAGGACAACATGGATAAAAATTTAATTAAGAAAACTTGACAAATGGCACACCGAATGGCTCAAAAAGTCTTTTCTAATAATCCGTAAAAAATCGACGTAGAAGTCTACGGCTATTTTTGAGAAAAGCGTATTTATCGGTCCATTAGATAAACTCTAATTTTTTTTTTGGGCTTATGTCTGTACATACTTGTTGAGCTTTTCGTGCCTTTATGTACCTTTAACTTCCTCGCAAAGTTAAATTTGCTAAATTTTTGTGAAGCTGACTGGAGTAGCCTGCACGTACAAATATTGCATACTGTATAAAGGGCTTTTTAAAAGATTTGTAAGGGCCTCGAGGTACACTATATTAAAAAGTTATTTGTAAAATATTTAAAGAACGATTCCTAAGCGATTTAGCCTTCAGTTGTAGCCGTATCGCATTTCCATTGAAGAAACGATATGTGGAGATGTTCCTGGCTAGCTATACAAAAATTTCATCCAGAAAGCGGTACTCGTTTACGCACAGTATATAAGCCGGTGTTTGTATCCAAATAATGACCAGATACCTTATATATGTTCCATTTTAGCACTTTTTACCATAACTCGCAAGCCCCCTTGAGGCATCCACATGAGATACATATGATTAAATAAAGAAAAATGTAATTAAAGTACGTCCGTTTTACCAATAGAAACAGGTATTGCTCAGGAGATCACATTCTAACTTGGGAGAAAGGCTGCCCCTTCAAATTTTTAGTCATTTGCCGTTGTTGAAGGGACAACGATATCACTTAATCGTATATCAGAACAGATTTGTCGAAGTTACTAGATGGTACGTTTATATTATGTGTTTATGTTTATATTATGATAAAACTGATGTAATCGCATTTTATTCAAGAATGTGCTGTAATAACAAAATCCAGTGGCAAGTCCCACTTTTCTTTGGGAATGAGCGTATTTTTCTTGGATAATACGTTTAATTGAAACCAACCCATGGTCACAAAGTAACATGAGCAGTAATATTCCTTCAGTTTAGATTTATAAATTATCTATTACAACAATTAAAACAGTGCCGCATAGTTGGTTCTGCTAGATTAGATCATCGTTCTTTGAATCTTGGAAAACAGCTGTATAGGAACGTATTACATCAAATGCAGTCGCTTAACTTTCGCTGACAATTATTGGTTTATAAAGACCCCAAGGCACAATGCTACTTTTAGCGCCACAAGTAAAGAGAAGCTGTTGCAGATGTGAGAAGACGTCGAAAGCGATCTGATTACATTATCGACTTAGGGAAAATATCACGAGCCATAAATTTTTGTTACATACCAAACGCTTAAGAACACCGGTGTACACATTAAAACACCGCTGTGCTAGCGTAAAATTGTAAAAAATAACTTCGGCCGAGACGATTTCGCATACGTTCAGTCGAACGCCATGGTTACCATCATAACGTTGTCAGAAATGATTAATTTTAATAGAAGCAGAACTTTTGCTATTAAAACGAAAATACCTCGACGGAAAAACTGTTCAAGAAACAAATTAAAATGAAACGCTCTGGTTTTGTTTAAGTGCATGCTGCAGCAGCAAATCCCCACAAACATTGACTTGTGCCTCAAACCTGCCTATCATTTCTGACGCTCCAAGCTTAGCTTACCTTAAAACCAGTAAATAAATAAGAGTGTTTTTTTCAGCGTAAAGAACTTTATTTGTTGTTGTTTATTTTTATTGTTTTTTCTGTATTATTATTGTCGTTCTTCTTGCTATCGGTTGACTTATAGAAGTCTGTTGACGACGTCGGAAAAACTTAAGATAATATTTAGCGGCTCTATCTCATCACGATTTCCATCGCCGTTCACATCGTTGTTCGTTTTTCCCCTACGCCGTTTCTTATTTAGTCCTTACCATTTCTATAGAGAGGTGCAATCACTTCACGTTATCATCATCATCATCATCAACTGCTTACCACGTCAATGTGAAACTTGTGCGCGGCAGTTCTGTTTACTTTTATTGTTGTTATTGATGAAGATCTTCATAAGTCCGAGTCGTCGTGATTGCTTTTCATCCTCGTTAGCTCGATAGTTGGCCATTTTACAGTCAGTTTTTTCTGGAGATTGTAATTCCATTTTTTCTAGTAGAAATAGATATCCCTGTATGTTTGAATGTTTGTGTGTGTGTCTTGTGCTTATATCGTTTTCTCTGTCCTGTTGTTGTGCTTGTTGTCATTGCTGCTCCTGATAGCTTAATGTAATTGGTTAGCCTAATTATTGGGCTTATTCGCCATTTCGACCGAGAGAATGAGATTATCATATCCGTATCCATTCAGATGCATAATGGCGCTGAGGGCGGCGTCCTTGCGCAGGAATGAGACGAATGCGAAGCCCTTTGAGTTATTCGTCACCTTATCCTTAGCCAAGTAGATTCGTTGGATCTGGCCAAACGGACTAAACAGCTCTTGGATATCTCGTTCACGGATGTCCTCGGATAGATTCGTCACACGAACAGTGTTATCATCACGGGCCTGGCGCGGGTTGCCCATTGTCTCGCCGCGACGCGTACCACCACCGTCGCGCAAAGATGGTGGTACGTACCTGAAGAAGAAATGAAATAAGAAAATAGAAAAATTAGTTCATATCCTGCCTTTGTTAATTATCGATATAATATTGTAATGACACCTTCGACTAGAAAGGTACAGGCCCGCCGCCTTGAAATCTGTTAAACCAGCCATGGGTGGTGCCGAGTGAAAGCCAACTAAGTGTACATAAAATTATATGCACATATATATTATATATCGGGTGAATGTGACGGATAAGAGCTCCATAACGAACGTTCTAGATGGTAGACACTCATCAGCCAGTGACTTTCTAAGTGGCGTTAGGATAATCGACCTTAATTATGATTTGCTACATTTATATATAATATATTATTTGAATAGAAATAACTTACAATGGTAAATTAGATTCGCTCCTCTCCATTTTAAGAGCTGCATGACAACAAAAATATAGACATGTATTTGAGGGGCGGTATTTGGCAACGAATAAAAGTACGTACCGGTCGGTTTTCGTGGGGTCCATTCCTTTAGAAGCGGCGTTTGCGGCGGCCGCCGCTGCACGACTACTCTCGTCCAGCTGACCAACACCAGATGGCATGCGATCCTTGTAGGGACACTGGGTTGTCCAATGATCTTCTTTGCAGATACGGCATTGGATAGATTTAAGCTGTTGTTTCGCCTGCTGCGCAAGGTCCTCCTCTGTCTCCTGAGGTTCTTCTATGCCGCCCTATAAAAGGAATTGTTCACAGAAGTATCACACATACAGAAGGCCAAGTAGCTCCCGCTATTTCTGGCAGCAGCTAATTTCGAACAACGTAGTTTATATTTATGAAAGATACAAATGAATACTTTCTTCATGATGCTTCCAAACGAAATTTATTAAAATTAATAGGACCAACAATAGCGTAAGTACCTTAAGCGAGATGAACTGCATGAAGATTTCCTCGGCAACCATCGTTGTAGCAGGATTTGGTCCCGCGGGATCGTTTTTCGAGTCGCCAAACTTAGCAAGACTCTTCCGATGAGCCACAGCTTTGCTCACCTGCTTCTTTTCCATTTTGTACGTTCGAACAATCTTGTACTTTTTGCCCTCCTACAAAGAAACATCCGCTTGAATAAGAACCTTCTACAACTAAAACTTTTTATTGAAAGTACCAGAATATAAGTTTTTAAAATTTTACAAGTATACCGCATATTTCATAAACAATCAGGTATCAGTATTAAATGGATTTCAAGCCATGTTTAAACAACACCGTATTCAGGTAATAGAAGCTGCAGTAGTGTGGCTCAGTTAATGAAAACATGATCAAAGATACGAACTAAGCTACGATCGTTCTGTTCTTGTGATTACTTTCCTTCAAGCTAACTATACAAGACTAGAATAAAAAGAATAAAAGCAGGTGAACGTAAGGTTTGATGAAGAGCACCAACGCATTGCACTTTTGTTTTAGTAAACAAAGTACTAAATAGACTAAAAAGACTAAATAGATTGAAAAAAAAACCTTGAAAAAGCAATAAATATCTCTGAAAAGCGAGTCTATTCGACATCTTTCATATGGAAGTTGCATAGGACACAGATGGTCGATTTTATCATTATCGAAAAAATCTAATTTTTAAATTCTACGAAATATATTTGGTAACATATTTTAGTCAAAAGCTTCCGGTAATAAAATAGGATTACTTTCATAGCCTTAAATCGTGAAAAAATTTAATACTAAGTTCCAAAATCTGAAAAAATCAATAAAAAACTCTGTCAACTTTAGTATGTTAGAGGGTATTGCACTTGGTATTATGTCTTTTTAACTGAATTAAGGTAACTGAAAAGTTTCCATCAAGCGATAATTGAGTGAGTACTTTATAGACAGCCTGTTTAAAATTGAGTGCATCACTACTGAACCAATAAAGTGCAACAAACTGATTACCGAGGTAAAACTCTCCGACATGTATTCGCGTTCTGTTTTATTGTACTGGAGAACAATTGTTGCTCGGTTAATTTGCCAAATGGGTCCGGCTTGTTTATTAAGCAAGCGGCGCAAATTTTACCACTGGCTTTTGTTCAAATTGGAAATTTATTGGGATGTGTTAAGGTGTCACTGAATTTGCACGCCTAAAACGTATCGTGGCACGCATACGATTAAAACTATGGCTAATATTGGACTCGTCGTAGTTTTAGCCAACAGAGGTAATAGAATAGAACAAGTACTTTGGTGAAACGTACCACATCTTTGTAATCGGTGATAATCTTGAGGTCCCCGTCGATCTTCTCGGACGGTGGTGGCAAGCCATCCTCCTCGAATTCAACCCGATCTGCCCACGAAGTTTTGCTCATAGCGTCTGGCATACAATATCACGATGAACACACGATATTCACAAAAAAAACCGCTAGAATTCAGCTCCGACTCGGCAATTGTCACTGGCTAGCACAGCACAACGTGTTGGAGAAGAAACATCATGGAACGCTGGGATCACACATCGCATTCATTGTTCTACCGGGCAGTCAAACAAATTTCCCATGTTCATAATATTTTGCTTTCGTCCTAGCAACTGGAAGTCGTAGTGTTTCGTAATTTTAACCATATGATTCAGTGAGTACTCAATTAATAAATAACTGATTTTCAGCACGACTGAAAAGTAGTAAGCAGATCGGGCAAAATCATTTAATGATGATGGCTGGTTAGCCAACTATTGCACACCGGCCGTTCGATGTACCTGCCCACGATTCGAGAAGTTCGCACCAGAGTGAAGGAGATCTATTTCGAACATCAACCTTCACGCCAACAAATAACATTATCAAAACCAATGAAACAAAATGGCGTTAAATCCGCGCGTGGTCAAATTTGAGCACTTCATTAATGATGTGCTCAGAGAACATCTGAAGAGACTTGAAAAAGAACGAAATCGATTATGCGAGCAAGCTGGCGAGTACCTTCAGTTGAAAGTTGCCATCGAGCGGTTACAAAAAGACTGCAAAGAAGATAAGTCGATTCGAACGCAGGTATTATGCTGTGAAAGTTTATCAATTGTCATGTTTAGAATTGATATTTCAAGTAGTTTACGTATTCAGTATGGTTGCGTGTGGTCAAAAAAATTGTAACACTTAGTGTGTAATTTTCGATTATTAAGATAGTACCTATTTATAACAACCTAAGTCTATGAATAACCTTCTATGGACTTCAAATAATATTAAAAGCCCATTCAAGTGATTTATCTTCATTACTTATCTGGTTTTCGTCTCAATTTTATCCCAAGCCTTTACAAAATGTTATGCACTATATATTTTTCTGAGTTCGGAAACTCTCTGAGGTTGATTTTAGCTCGAATAATAAAATTAGGAAATTTTGAATATCGGTGTGGTGAAAGACCACGCAATCAAAATCGCGTTTAACCATAGATGTTCTTCCAGATGAAATAACACGAGAACAAGTCTCATGCCAATAACGGTATCGTCGCCTGATAATCTGAACTAAATACTTACATATACGTTGTACTATCGAAAAAACTGTCTTGTTCGCGTCCTCAGGTGGATATTGGCTGTAGCTTTTTCTGCCAAGCGGAAGTTCCTGACGCCACGAAAGTGTTTGTCCTCCTTGGAATGGGTATCTTCGCCGAGCTGACGCATTCCGAAGCACTCGATTTTATTGACAAAAAGCAGAATCTCCTCAAAGAACGAATTGACATCATGAGTAAGTCTTGTCCAAGTAAAACTAAAGTAAGACACCATTATGTTTCGGTGTTACTTACCAAACTTGTATCTGTTGACACTTAATTTAGAGACGAAGGAAGTGTGGGCAGAAATCAAGCATTTTATAAAGTTCCCTTTTGACTTTGCTACTGTATTAATGAACTGTTGCTGTTGTGTTCTGATAACGCAACGCTATAAAGGTAATATAGTTTATTTAGAAATCTATTAGTGCAAGACTATCGATTTCCACGTGTCTTGCGATGTTAAAGGTGCAAAGGAGTTCATTGGTTTTCAGCCGTCGGTGTTATCATTTACGTCGTTTCGCTACTGAAGAACAATGGTAAAATATCGAGAATAGTCTTGCATACCATTAAATATCATGACTACACTCAAACCAAATTGTGCAGAACTTACCAGGTTATATGTAATACCACCCCATCAAACGAGTGAGAACACAATGATACCCATAAGCGCCTTCGTGATACACTTTCTATCTGAAGTATGTAAACGCCTATAATCTAACAGTAATTTTGTTTCTTTTCATATGGTTTTAGGCGAACGATGTGCTGAAGTGAAAGCTCGCATACAAATGGCTCTACTTGCATTACGAGATCTTCAGGGTCTTGCTGGCGAACTTCCGCCTCAACCCAGGGATATTTGGGCATAGAGTGTGTATAATGGTGACTGTGCTGCCCTGTATATAAAAATAACAAATACATTTTCTGTATGTTATTAAATTGAATTATAAGTACAATAAATATCAGACGTTTTACGAATGCTCCTCCATTTCGCTAAATAAACCTGAACTATCCTTCGTTTGTGCCCGCGTACGTGCAATATGTTTACCATACCTTAATGAAAATAGCATGCACAAATAAGAAGCTGAAAAGCGTCATAACAATCGTCTGAACAATCTAAAATATACTCTTTAATTTAAGTACTAACCGGCGAATGGACGCATGTAGCTTCAAGATTCATTTTTGATCTTTACTCAGCTTACCAGCTAACTAGTGGTAGATACTATATTAGAGATGTTAGATTTTACATTAAAGGGGCACGTTGTTTTGAATTTAACGTTAACTTATACTAAATAGGATTTATAGTAACCTTTTTAGGGTCAGGTTTATATTAGATCACAGGCAAATATACGCATAGCAGCTACAGTGGCCCCGTTAAACGACCAAAATTAAAGTGCTGGCTGCGGTAGTGAAGGGCCTTTTATTTAGGCCAATCGTTTTAGTATTGCCTTCATATGGTATGAATACAACGTTATATAGCTCCCTTAAATTACCCGCGACGAATACCAAATATGGTCAGCCGTTTTAGAGTTCATCTCTACTCTAAGGTATGACCTGGAGTTACCGTCAAGATTTAGCCTTATCTGGTGGTATTTTTGTATTTAACAGAGGTGTAGCCAAAGCAACTGTCTTTTGGCAATATTCGTACTTAAAGCCTGAACTGGTATTGTGGTTTCAAAATTTTCTTTTCTAGGTTACCTAAATAGATTTCACAATTTTCAGTTTTAAATAGACTTGTCAAAAGCGGTGTGGATACACTGACAGACAAATAATTAAAAAAAAAGTTGATTAGGTAATCATAAGGCCTTCATAAATTACAGAATGTACTCAATAGTTTATACTACGTTTAGTGAATTCCTCAAATCGAAGCAAAATTCTGTTTTCAAATTTCAATAAAAGTAAAATATATAAAAGATATGGCTTTTCCATAAACAAACTACTATTTTTTTAGCGACACGTTTTGCGCTTGCTTTAGAGAAAAAGAAGAAATAATATTATTTTCTGCGCATTTTTGATATTTTCCTGACGAACAGCTACAACAGACATTTCTCAATAAACAGGCTTGTTTTCAGATCGGTGTTTAGGACGAAGCGTTAGTCATTTATCTCCTTTAGGAAGCCATGAAGTGTTGTTGACTTGAAATATATGTGAGATAGCTGAACACATCATGGAGTATCGAAAGAAAAATAAAAAAAAAAAGGAATCTACGCAAAGTGCATTCAAAATTGAAGTTATGTGAAGTATTATTGTTCAAATCTCCAAGACACCGAAGATGTGTCCTCTGAGCTTTCGGTTTAGCTGGTAATATATCAATAAAGGCTATCGCTAAGCATATGCTTTTTGTGATATAACATCACCTTACGGTTACATTACTGCTAAAATGATTTAGTTTAATTAAAGAAAGCATTCGAAAGAGCACAAATGGCAAGATTAGATCTTATTTGATGTCCGATGTTTTATCAGCAAAGTCCGAACAGCAAGAAATGGTATCCACGAGATTTGAAACTTTCGCGCCAGGATAGTATCCACATATTACCATGTGGCGGATCAGCTGAGCATCGTAGAACGTCTCAAGGTTTACAAAAACGTGTGGTGCAGAAACATATCCTCGCATATCTGTATGTACATACCTAATTTAGTGTAATATATGTTAAATAAAAAGTAAGACATGGAATCTATGAAATTTTCATTGAGTCGTGGAACTCCCTCTCGTCTGGGTTCGCTTGTTTTTGGCGATATCGCAATCCCGACTCCGGCAATGCTTTTGTATACACAAGCTGGTTCAGTACCTCACCTCACAGTGGACAATGTAGAACGGATTATCGATCAACCATACCCTCTAGTAGTGCCTCTTCAATCAACGTATTCTATGCACAAAAGTGTCGCTGCATTGGGCAAAGGTATAAGTAAATTCGCCGGGTTCAGCGAGCGGTGTCCTTCTGTGCAGATCATTCAGGACCCGCTAAAGGAGACACAGAAGGGTTTTAACAACCGTCAAGGAGTTTGCATATTTGAAGACGGAGGCAAAATTCAGTTAACACCTAAGAGTATCACTGAAGCTGCAGCCGTCTTCCGGCCGGCAGCGTATCAAGCGTTAACCGACGGCGACACGCCAAAAGGCTGTTCAAATAAGCGGCTAAGTCATTCTGTCAAGCGCTCAACAGATTACCTCGATAGTTGTATTCGAACAAAAGAAGAACAAATGGTACAAAGTGGCCTCTTAGCGTCCATACAAGGTGGATATAACGAAGTGTCCCGTAGATTTTCAGTGTCTGACGCAATGAAACGGGATCAAAACAAAATTGCCGGTTATATCTTGGACGGATTCCACATGAATGGCGAGAAGACGGCTGAACTTGAATTTTCAAGCATTGCGAGCTTAATTACAGTTGTAATCGAAGGGTTACCTGAAAATAAACCGCGGTTTATGTTCGGCTGTTATAACCCGGAAATGATCATTGAACTGGCCCGATCAGGAGTTGACTGTTTCGATTCCTCATATGCTTGTCTTCAAACTGATAAAAACCGAGCGCTTTTATTTTCTTTTGAAGAGGTATGGTTAGTTTTTTAGAAAAAGAATATTTATTTGTCGACACGTTGAATCATCGTTGTCTGTAACAATTGCACCAAATTAACCCATGTTACATGCTGGGTCAAAAGGGAATAGAAGTTCTATACCTTTATGTACAACACGGAGATTCTTATTCAACATTCTTATTCAGCCTAAGCAAGGGCATCGTCTCTAATGTGCTTTTATTGGGGATTGACCATGCGTCTTTGGCACAGCAGAAACCAATAGTGTCATTTTACTTTTGCGAAATTATATAATCTGTTTTTTTCAATTTCCGTTTTTTATAATTTTAATTAATGTCTTTTGTTACGTAGGTGAGAAACGTTACCGGGCAGGCACGCTATCTACAGCTAGACGATGTTGATAAGTACAGAAGCGATATGGGCGTTATTGTAGGGCACTGCAGGTGTTACACCTGCAACGAAGGATTTTCGAGAGCATACATCAACCATCTGCTTCTTACCAAGGAATTGTTAGGCAAGATACTTCTACAGATCCACAACCTTTATCATTTATTCAAGTTTTTTGATAATTTGCGCGCTGATCTCAGTAAATAAGAACAAAAACTAAGTAACAAAAAAATGGTGGTAGACAACGACAAGTTAATCTAATACAGACCTCTGCAGTTGTATATTATTGTATTGTCTGCAATGACAGTGGTCAGTACGCAAGATAGGTTGTAATATGTGGTTGTACTTTTTATTTTGCCGATTTGAAACCATGAATTGTGGTTAATATATTAATTAATTCAATTATCATTTTGTCTCATGATTTAATAAACAGGTATCCTGATAAAGGTGTTTGCAGACCCTTGTCGTACGATAATATGAAGTGCTTATGTGGCTCTTACAAGGAGATCGATTCTTATAGCCTCTGTATGTTTTTAAAAATTATTTGACTATTGTTTTAAATCGTCTTAGATAAAACCTTTGACTCACAAGCATGTAATGTGTAGTCCAATCCCTAGTTTGTACATTAACGTTTTCGAATTGATTCTATGTATATATAATTTTGGAATAAGCGGCCTAAATGACCTTTTACCATGTGAAACTTGATAACGGCATAAAAAAAGATCATTTTGCTTTGGCTACCTCATTTTTTGTGTTAGATAAGCCTGGTTCACTGGATGACACTGAATCATTCACAAGTTTATGTCGAGCGGGTCACTTGTCCTAAGTATATCCCAGTGTATAAAACTTTTAGGTTACATCAAACGCAAATCAATCTTTTTCGGACAAATATTAATTTTACTTCTAGGCTTTAGACGTATCTCCCAGAGCTATCCTTCGTCATCTAGGCTTCATACTGACGTAGAAATTACCTGTCGGAGATTCTAACGATTTGTGTAATGGTTAATGAGGGGTGTGTGTTGATCTGTATTGAGAGATATGGTAGAAGACGACGGGAAACCGTGTCTAAGCAGTGAATAGTGCACCCAGAGTTCGAATGTTTTGTACAGTCTCCTAGGCCTTTTCACGATGTCTGACGATAGCTGCCCGTTAGTTGATCATCTTCCTTCATCTCTGGGCGGTACCTACAGATGCGAAGTGGGAATTGAAACCAAGCTGTAACTTTCAGATCACACGTGCCATCCCTTTGCTTAACGAAGCACCTTCGAACAACCGTTTCAGTAATAGAGTCTTGACCGCACACATTAAAAATGGCACTGGACTTTAACGTCTGCAAAAGACGAAACGAATTATCTATGGAAAATGCACTTCCTTTATCATTGGAGTCTGAACTCGGGTTGCCGTCATCATATGACAAAATGACAGCCAACATACGATTTAGGAACAGCGCCTATGAACAGTAATACAAATAAAATGTTAAAAAAAAATCGGAAACAGAGTAGCTCAGAATGGCTGAACACTATTCATGCATCCAGATTTACGCTAGCTGACTTGCGCCTCCCTTTAACCCTAACTAGAATGTGCATCTATTGCAGTAAAAAATACCGATACTGCACAATATAGAACCCAAGTTGGACCGTTAGTAAATATTCAGTGCTCCATTTATAGAAGCAAGTTATAATTCGACTTCGTCTCTTTGGGCCCATGTGTGTTCAGCTGGGGAGATTGGTCCAATTCGGACATACAACAGATAGCCTTGAGGTGTTTGAAGCGAATAATGGTGAAACAGTAACATCGTTTGTAGAACTCCATAAACATACTGCTGGGCGAAGACAACGGCAAACGTCCTATTAAATAAGAAGGTGTTTATTCCTTCAGGAGTATTCTCTCAGGAATAAAACTTCCTGATAGCTTTTGCAGCACTCCTATTTGTTTTCGCTAATAAGATATTGACGGTGACCTACCTTTGCTTAGGCCAAATGTCGCACAAGGTTTGTTGCTACGAATAGGTTCCGTTTCAATCGTGTAACTTCAATATGTAGTGCTCATTTGTGGTATAAAACGTACCGTAGTTCGGAAAAATTAATAGTAGAAAAAGTCAGCTTCGAAGTCGAGCGCATAGTAAGGTTCTTTATCAGACACTATCTCGCGCGCAAAAATGGAACTTGCCTGCATCGGCAATTCTCTCATGTACCGTGAATAGTTACTTTTTCAAAACTTAGTGAATTATAAGAAAAAATTAGTGCCAAAACTGCAGGGTAGCATCTCTATTGATTGTGGTTGGCATCTGCGCTGTTTACTATATGGCACCAAAGAATTACCCACAACTGCTGAGAAGTTACAAGTAAAACGTCCGAAAGGCGGATGCACAGCAGACCGCGGTCACTTGTGCTTCATAGTGTCAAGCCGATGCACCATAACCCAATGCCGTAAAGTTCGCACGTACGTTAGCCTCAGCTGCGGGCACCAGTGCCCTCGCAAGTGCTTTGAATTACGTAGTGCATGTATTGCAGGCGTAAAACGACTTCTAAGATGTGGTTATCTCACAGATAAAGAATGCCATGTTTCACTAGAGGAAAATCTTTGCATGTTACCGCGCATGAAACCCCTCGAATGCGGCCACGACTGTTGTAATCCGTACTGGAACGCTGTACCCGGCAGCATTGTAAAAGCGTACTGATGACACAAACGTGTGGACATGAAGCATGTCGACATTCTATAAAGAGGTGGAAAACGCCGTTTAGGACTTGTGCGATATCAAGGTGCCGGTCGATCTTCGGTGTGGCTATTGATTTTCGGCCAGGTGCTCGAGCTCCACGAAGCTAGACGAACTAATGAAGATCTGCAGGGCCGTCATTAAAAACGCACATGTAAAATGTGGTCATGAATCTAACATACTGTACTCCGGTCATCGCCTGATTGACCGTTGTGTACGCTCTATCGAAATTTGCGGCGGCTTAGCAGAAGGCATTGAAAGTTTTACACGTATTTGCAAACGAGAAGTCGAGGCCGATGGCTACTGCAAGTATAAAGTAACTCGTGCCTACAATCTCTTGGAAGATTTCGCCGCTTAGTATCGTATTGCAATGATTGTACCTTTACACTGTAAGCATGATACTGCAATGCAACGAATTTAAGGATCCTAGTGTCATTGAAAAATGGACTGGGGCCTTTCTAGCTTCAGTTAACGCAGCTCACAAGCAGGCGGTGCTAGTGAAATGTCATATAAACCGCAATACAAAACTCGAAAAAATTCGGTGTAACGAAGCGTTTAAAGATGTCCGTGTTCTATGAGGATACAAAGTTACTACGCTATGTCGTTACACAAATCAGCCGGCGTATCTTTCAAGCCTTTGTGAAGTCATCAGAGACGTGTCTCTCAAATGTGGCCATTCGCCCGGGATCTCAAATGCAATGACGCTCGTAGTTTAAATCTAGTAAGTTTTTAAAAGCTGCCGTCAGCTCGTTGGTAAAACATCACTATGTGGTCATGTCGAACGCCAAACATGCTTCGGTCACCAGGGTCAACCCCAGGAAATATTCAAACAAAATTATGAATCTGTTTTGCCTTGTGGTCATCCATGCGGTGGGAATTGTTATGACGGCTACAGGGGCGTTTTCACAAGCCGTGTATCAAGCGCTATACCCAACGATGCTCGTTTGGACATGCTTGCAAAGATATTTTCGCGGAAGATTGTCCGGCATGCATAGAACTTTGCGCAAAAATATGTTTTCATAGAAAGTGTTAGGACCAGTATGGACAATTGTCTTCCAGTAAAAAGACAGACTCCTGCAGGCATTGGGGCGCAACGCGAACTGCTGTGGGAATCATACCTGCGAATTTTGCCCGCAAGCGTGCCGGGAAAGCCTAGTCTTTGGCCATTCCTCTATAGGAATGTACGGAGAGTCTTGTGTATCTTGCGTGGGTTGTACAAATGGCGCAAGATCAAAAAAAGGAGGGAAAAAACTGGTGGCTTACAGGCCGAGTATGTTGGCTAACTGCTGTAGACCATTCGGAATACAACCACATTGTCAACGCAGATGTAATGGACACGCTCGTTAAGGACTGTCTCGAAAAGAACAAAGTTCGGCCTGCAAAGTTCCGGTTGCTGTCTACAGGTGGTACAGTGCCACGGAGAATAGCATTTATCAACGCAAACATCTCACGGCCGTTAGTGATGAAGAAGACACCGAGGAAAAAACCAAGCTTCTCTACCATATTAATAGGTACGTACAGGCCGACTTGAAATCAGAGGGCCTCGCAAGATACACAACTACTTCATGTTAAGAATTTCCCACACGCTCATTCCAAAGGTTCGTCCAGGAAAGCATAGCCAATTGGAAATGTGCCAACTTATCGCTGCTAACGTCAGAACTTTGTTGCTTTGTGCTTCTAGTGATGTATGTTAAACATCATATTTGCATAAGAGCGATGTCATGTACTGATAATTAGTACATAGCGGTCAATGCTCTTAGATATCAAATCATTTGACATGCTGAGCCATGAGGCTAAGGAAAATCGAGGCGAATATATTTATTTCAAGGCCTAGTAAGAACCGCACAGTATCAAAATTATTGTTGTTATTATTACGTCAAGGCTCGGCAATTTGTGTACCTTTTTATTTTAGGATGTCGTTAGTGATTTGAAGATAGACATTTCTACATCTATTTAAGTGTCTATAATGCCACTAAACTCGTGTTTCCCTGCCATTCGTGAACCATAGTACACATAAACATGATCGACATTCCACGACATGCTTGGCGGCAGCTGTTTTGTTTCAGACCAAAATTTCTCATTGATGCCAAAAACAACTCATGTAGATCATCATCAATCATAATGAATGAAGTAGATTTGATATTGAAGGAATTAATAGCCTTCGGAAGAAGGTTAGAATTAGAAGTAGGTTCGGTGCGTGAGATCTGATTAGGGGCGGAGTGAAGTATTTAAACCAGGAACACAGGATAGTTCAGTTGGTTATAACTACAGCCATGTTAATAGCCCACGAAGATTTTTTTTCATGGCCTGTTGACGTGGCTAACTGAAATTAATTAACTAAGAAAAAATCGTAATAGTTGCTATCATTTCGTAAGCGAGTTAAAAGAATTATCATGATTACAGTTATTATCGACCTAAATTAACATTTGGGTTGCATGTGCGTTCTGATAAACTTCAAAGCACTGCATAAGTGTTTAACGAAAGTCTATGCGTACTATTCAAGCTGAGTGTTATTTGTGCCTTAATAATACTCTTTAACAGAAGCCTTAATCGTTTCGAAAATCGCTTTCATAATTTGATAGGCTAGCTTCCTGGCTGAAGATCTAAACGAGGTAGTCTGTTTCGGTCGTTTCGTTTATTTTAGTTTTATGCGAAATAAAGTATTCCGCTCCAAAAAGACACTAACCCCTATTGAA